TTTTATTTGCAGTTAATTTCCATGTAAGGCTGCATGGCCGCAAGTTAGTTGTTGTATCACAGGAATTGCAATTTAAAAATTTTAATAATTTAAAATTCATTCTCAATTAATTTGTGAATAGTGAACCCTGTAGACCTACTATACTGCATTGTATGTTGTGTTTTGTATTACAGTGCTTTTAATAATGCCTTGTATTTCATGTTGGGAGAAGAATCTAAATGCCCTTATATATAAATGCATTTAAACATTTAGGAAAACTATTTTTCTTCCAGAAGATGTCGCTGTTTCTATTCTCAATTCAGCCGAATTTATCATCCAGAGAAGCACAGAGTTTACAACCACTATTATGTACCTCGTGAGAGTGACACCGGAAATGCCAGGACAACGAGAGGGGCCATCTGTATGTTTCAGGCAGGATATTTTCTGGAGGGACCATCTAGGTAAGGAAGTGCTTTACACACTTAGTAATATTAGACTTAAAATAAAAAATCTCAACGTGTCATTAAAATGTTGTGATGCGTCAAGGATCCTCCAGAGTCTGAAATAATAGAGCTTAATCTTTCAAGGTCTTTCCCTCAAAGCCAGTGCCTCAAATTATGAATGCCACAGTTTCAAGGCTGAATGAACCGTGCCTAATTTTGAATGACGGGGAGTCCCGTGTTATGTCTTAGAACAGGAAGTGATGTCAGATTATTTTCCTGTGTGGCAGTTATTTACATGGGAGGCGTAACCACTATGATTGACACAATGACTGCTAATCTTACTGCCCTTATTTGTTCAATGGATTGAGTGATTTTAGGGATTGGGCATCAGGGTTGGGACTTGTTAAACTCTGGTCTTTCTGTTCAGTGCCTCAGGGTAGTGTGGTTTTCATCCACTGCACTCAGGATCAAATAGATGAGAGAAAGTGATGAGAAAATTTTCATCACATGTAAAGTGACCAGCACTTATGAGCCTTAACCCTACACTGAGGTTTCAGGTAAACATACTCTCATATGTATATTATGCAACAGGTTGCAGGTAAACACTCTCTGTGTATATTATGCAACAACAACCTGATGTCATTAATGCAGTAAGTGTGAAAATATGCATTAATACGCAACTAAATCTGACAACCTGAAACCACTTTATCCACACACCCATGTAGACTCATTGCACACCTGCGGGTTGTTCCCGTTACAGATTTCTGCTTAACACACACTTATCTGTTTGTTCTATGCTCATCCGTCTGAACAGACGCTCTTTATTCTAGACACGTTGACATCGTACACTTCATTAGAGGAAATGCATTGCAGATTTTACCTAGGAAATTGTACCCTATCAACCCTATCTCTATTTTTTTTTCTCACACTCGTTCTCTTCCCCGGTTTCACTCCTGGTAGTTCTATTTGTGTCAATAAAACTGGGTTATTTATTTGGAGCACGAAGCTGAAAGCAGCCGAAGATCCACCACAGGCCATGTGCATGTGCACACATCTCTATACACGTGAGTGGGATTGCAGGTGTGTGTTTGAGGCTGTGTGTGTGTGTGTGTGTGCAATGATCTAGCTGATATTTAACCTAATCTCTGTGAATGAAGTATTTGGAAATGTGCACATGTAAGCACTACACTGAATCCACTCTATCGCACCTCTCACTCATATTCAGAAAAAAATTGTGCTTTTTTTATATAAATAAAATTGTATTAAAAGTGCTCTAAGCGATTTCTGCTAGAATATGTATAAAATATTCCCACTACCTGACAGTTATGGCTGAAATAAGTGTGCTGTGATGGTCTAGACTGAAAAACAGCAAAAAGAAATAAAACGTTGGAGCTGGCACACACTTTTGTAGCCAATTTAGTTGTTGCAGTTTTTTTGTTGCAGTTCATGTTCATGTTGCAGTTTTAAAAAATGTATTTATTTATTTATTTATTTATTTATTTTTTGAGGGTGGAGGATTTGAAGAGTTGTTATAATTATCAAAGTGGGTAAAACTGGTCATAGCACATTTATTTATTTATTTATTATTTTTTCTGAGGTTAAGAATGTTTCTATAGTATTAACAGTATTACAAAAATTTATTTTTCAGCTGTATTATTAGGAATGACTTTTAGTTTTTGTACAATTGGATTTCTTAACTCTCAAATATCTTATTTTTCTGAGTGCTGTCTATATATGAGTCAGTCAATTAATCAATCAACCAATCAACATTAGCCTCAATGTTTTAAATGCATGGACTATGAAAACTAGTGTGAACGATGACATTTCGAAATGAAGCAAATTAATCCTGTTTTAAGTTGGAATGGCACCAGTAATCTCTATGCGCTACGGACCTTGGTTTTCCTATGGCGAGAAGCAGGGAGGATGGATGTCAATCGTATCCATATTGTGCTTGCATGAAATCCATTTGATCTAAGTTCCACATTCTGCATATATTCCAGTAAAGAGAACTGACTGACACCACAGTGTTACGGTAATGAATGACACATTGTCCACATCACAGGAGTGTACATTCATATGTGGAGACTCTAAACTCAGCATCTCTGTGTAAATACTGTCATGCGGTACAGTGGGACCATATGCCTTACTAGCACTCATGGGCATGTGAAGCTGGAGCTTTACAGACATATATATATATATATATATATATGTATAATTTTTTGTCTTGTTAGCCTTGTTATCCTCACATGATTCTGACTTAGATAGAAAGAACATGCAAACCTGCATCTCTGTGGTGGCCCCTGTAGTGTACAGTGGGACTTCATATGCCTTACTAGCACTCATGGGCATGTGAAGCTGGAGCTTTACAGACATATATATATATATGTATAATTTTTTGTCTTGTTAGCCTTGTTATCCTCACATGATTCTGACTTAGATAGAAAGAACATGTAAACCTGCATCTCTGTGGTGGCCCCTGTAGTCTCCCACAGGCCTCTCACATATGATGTATGTAGGATGCAGTCTGAGGTGGGTTTCTATCTATGGAGAGGTGTTGAGTGTCTGGTCAAGTGGGCTTTGCGTGATGGCTTCTGTGGGAACACTTTAATGTAGTGCTGCGGGGAGATATTTTCCATGCGTGGTGTTAACGTTCAAACCTGGGTCTGACCAAAATGCCATTTCCATCATCTCACCATTGCCTCTGCTGAGATCCATTTTAATGGCAGTTCAAAAATTTTAGTCAAAACCTTGAACATTGAACAAAACATTGATGTTTTTGAGACATGTTGGCTTTTTATACTGTTAGTAATTATAACCGTAATTAATAAAAATAACAATAAATAACCAACTCTCTGCTGGAGGACCCCTTAAGGTGCAATCATATTTACTGTTGTTCTGCAAATTTTCTATGTGAAATAGAATTGTTTTGATAGGAATTCATGTGATCAGGAAATTCACATGAGGGTGAAAGACTTTCTCACGCAGATTTCACGTCAGGGTCAAGTTGGACATGCAAATTTGTTGCACTGACCAACAGAAAGCTGCTTGGTTTTAAAGTGGGGTCTCTTTGAGCTGCGCTTCATACATTACTATTCTATTGATAACAGACAATGGTGCTTTTTTTGTTCGAAGAATTAGGAAACACATGTTTAGAGCTTTAACACAACACAACTTTAGAGCTTTGAAGGCCCACAAAGATTCTCCTCGAAGGCACCCATGATTTCTATTCAGGGGGACACCCGCCCCCACCAACAGAATGTGATTTTTACTGAGGGGGGTTCCCTAACCCCCTCCACCCCCAGAATGTGATTTCAATGGGGCCCAATGCAATATACTGTACAAGGGGCCCAGTGATGCCATTGACTAGGGGCGCTTGTGGTCATTTGCACTGTTTGTGCTGAGGATTCCTATGGTAATCTCAATTTCGGAGGACCATGACAGTTTGAAGGCCTGGTCTCAGGAGTCAGGCCCCACTTAAAAGTCTGGAACAGGCATTCATATAATATAGACTTAAAAGGATAGAATACCCCTGTCATCATTTACTCATCCTCAAACCAGTATGAGTTTCTTTCTTCTGTTGAACACAAAAGAAAATATTTTGAAGAAAGCTGGCAACCAAAGCATGGAAAAAATACTATGAAAGTCGATGGTCATCTTGTAACAGAACAATGGTGAGTAAATTATAAAATGACAGATTTTTCATTTTTGGGTGAACTATCCTTTTAATATATCAATACCAGTAATGCAGGATCTACTGTACATTTCTATGCCCAAGACCTATGATCCAAAAATAGTATAGGGTGCACATGAATGTCACAAATATTTATTCGCTGATTACCAGTTGAATAGTGTGTGGACACACTGACATAGTCGCCTCATGTCATCCAGTGGCAGTTCAGTGCTGAATTCACATTACATAACAGCACTGACGGATTATTGGCCTTGTGTCCAGAACCAATGAAACTCCTCTCTTTAAAAGAAGAAGAAAAATAAAAAAATAACCATCTGAGAGATAAATTGTAGAGTTACATTAAAATATTTAAATATTATTATTTAATCCAGTTTCTGTAGTTTGGTAGCTACTGTAGGTTATATGAAATTACATGATATATTTTTAGCAGAAAAAAAGTGTCTCGTAGTGTAGTGTGATGTAATTATAGATTTAAATAAACACATAAAATTAAAGTGGGCTGGCCAAAAAGACTCATAAACTGCTCTTCGGTCTCCCGTTAAAAGCATTAGTCTCTCTGCGCCTATTACATAATGATTGATGACATAACACCGGTTACATTAAAATATTAAAATATTATTATTTAATCCAGTTTCTGTAGTTTGGTAGCTACTGTAGGTTATATGAAATTACATGATATTTTTTTAGCAGAAAAAAAGTGTCTCGTAGTGTAGTGTGATGTAATTATAGATTTAAATAAACACATAAAATTAAAGTGGACTGGCCAAAAAGACTCATAAACTGCTCTTCGGTCTCCCGTTAAAAGCATTACTCTCTCTGCGCCTATTACATAATGACTGATGACATAACACCGTACTGGCTCGGGACAGCGCGAGCCTGGACAGAGTCGTTGCGCGCGCCAGAGGCCACTCGGCTCTATTTATCCAACAAGTGCCAGTCCGTTTCTCTCGTTCTCTCTCTCTCTGGGACCGTTCAACGAATTTTTTCTTTACCTTTGAAATGTCAAATACGCATGCTAGTTACATTAAAACGACAGCGAAGCGGAGGAACGTGTTGACATAAACCTTGTATGTTTATTGACCAGTCGCGCCAACTTCTAGGGGATAATTGAAAATGGCGATGTGCTTGTTAAAACGTTTGCGGCGTCCCGGTCGTTAAGGTTGTCAGCAGTTGTCATTTTTCCTCTGGTTTTCTTTATTTTGAGTTTAATTTTAGTTTAATTGCTTTAGGCTAGTTTAAATAAAACCACTAATCACAACTAAAGGATTCGGTAAGGAGGTGTGTTGGCGTAGAGAGTTTTGACAGGAAAGTAATGGAAAATGATGAGCCCGCATCACCGGACCCGAACCATGACAGCACTCAGAGTAAAAGAGGTAAGCGTGTCATTAATTAACCCATTACATACCTCAATACTGTATTAGTGGGAAATCATCTCAGATTATACGTGTGTGTGCACGTTTTTGTGACAAATGAGGACATAAATTTGTATAATGACAAGGGTATGAAATAGGTATTACAAGGAGAAGGTGACTTTTCAGGATATTACCCCATGTCCCCACTTTTCAAAACGCATATAAATCACACAGAATGGAGTGTATTTAAAATCTGAAATAGCACAAAGTTTCCTGTGAGGGGTAGGTTTAGGTGTAGGGTTGGTGTAGGGCAATAGCACATACAGTTTGTACAGTATAAAAACCATTACGCCTATGGGATGTCCCCACTTTTCACAAAAACAAACCTGAGTGTGTGTGTGTGTGTGTGTGTGTGAGAGAGAGAGAGAGAGAGAGAATTTCACACACTTGTGAAACGTGGAACAATCTCGCACACACATTCAGTCATAGATATAAGACCAGTGGCACTCTAAAAATACACCCTTTATGCCATAGAAGTGCCTGTCTGTGCGCCAGCAGTCCTACACTAACCCACAGCGCTTGTGCCAAGCCTGTGTGCCACACGAGCCAGCGAAACCACAACTCTGTGACTTCTGTCACTTCTACCTCTGATCCAGCCTGCATTCGTAAGAGTGTGTTGTGCTGTCTTATCTATTCCTGTTGAACGTGCAGTGTCATTTCAGCCATCCTCAGTGTTGAGTGTAAAATTATATTTCTCGGTGCTGTTGTCACTTTTTGTGACAAGTCAAGTTTTTCCAAGTTTGGGAGTTAAACTCTGCGGTGCGACAAATTAACTTTGTAAAGAATGAAGAATTCTATGTTCATTCTTAAAAATAAAGGTTCTTTATTGGCATCACTTATTACATTAAGAACCTTTAAAATTGATGGAATCTTTCCATTGCACAAAATGTTCTTTATAGTGCAAAAATGTTCTTTAGATTATTATCTGATAACCCAAAATGGTTCCAAAATCACCTTTTGGAATCTTTATTTTTAAGAAGAATTTAAGAATGTGGCCTCTCTAAATGTGTAAAAGAAAGTGTAAAAACAGTTTGAATAGTATAAAAAGGTGAGCAAGTTTTTGTAATTATGTTTAAGTTATATTAAAATAATGTCCATAATATAAATGGACATTATTAATTGTGTGCCAGAAACGTAGAGATTCACTTGTTTCTCAGAAAGCAGAGGGAAGAAACAAAAAGTCAGGAAAATAAAAGAGAAAAAAAAAGAAAGGAAAGCGATACCCATTGACCAAGTAGCACAGAGATAAGACTATACTTTAGTTTCTGAAATGAAATTCCCTCAAGGGTGTCTTATTAGGATCTTGCAACCCAATAGGTCTCTTTAGGGCCTTATTCAACCGAAAGAGTATTGCTTTAAATCGAAACTGGTGTATTGGGTTATCTGAAGTTGAACTTTTGGCTATTTCACTCTTACGACATTCTTTCAATGAGATCAGTTTGTTCAGTGACCTTTTTCCTGTGTAAAGAAGTTAACGCAGACGTGTGTGTTAACCATTAATCCCTTTCATGCAATACATGTTTAGGCAAAATGTTATGTGGGAAGTATATTATTTCATTTGATTTAATTAAAATGATTTAAATCAAGATCAAATAATCAGTTTGGCACAATATCAGTTTTTTAAACATCATTTTCAGCCTAAATGGTATGAAAGGTTGTTGCACTTTAATATATTATATTATGCAAGATTTGTTTGCTCAAAGTTGTATTTCAACAGTGTTCAACTTTTAATGCTGCACAAACAGTAAATATAGGACTTGTTATACATTGTTTAAAGAACAATCAGAAACGCATAATCCATATCTTAAGAATATACAAACCATGTGTCATACCCTCCTGCCCTCTTGTTACATGCCTCTTTTCTTATCAGTGTCACTCTCTCTTCATGCAGCCCTCTATCAAACATATTTATCCCTGTTCTCACACTTCCCCTATCTGACACACCCTTTCTGCTCTTTTCACTGAATCATCTAAACACACTTTCCCTCTGTTTTGAACTCCTCCACATTCATTTTCTGTTCTGTTCTGTCTGCTTCTGTTCTTTGATGAGCTCCCACTTGCACCTGTGTACTTGCACCTCATACCTCTTGTGTACATCATGTAAGTCTAACTTTCCCATTCTGAGTCAACATCTCATCCCTCTGTTCACCTGTGCACAAGCTAGTGCTTATCAGCGTCTTTATATTTTCAGTCAAAGACCTTTACACTTTTAACAACAAGGTTACTTTCAAGCTTCTGATCAAGAACCATTTTTTTGTGCATTTTTTGTTCTTAAATTGGTTAAATTGCTCTTTGGAGATGTATTGCAGCTTCTTCAGAGAATAGGTTAAGACTTTAAGTTCTTTAAAGGAATGTTCCGGGTTTCGAGTTAAGGTCTATCAGATGTGTCTGTGGATTAAGACAATAGTTTTAAGTCTTTCTTCAGTGAAGAAAACCCATATAATGCCCTTACAATGGAAATATATGGGACAAGACTTTGGAATTACATTAATAAACATTGTTTCAAAATTATAGTTACATTATATGTTAAAGGGGTCATATGATGCGATTTCAAGTTTTCCTTTCTCTTTGGAGTGTTACAAGCTCTTGGTGCATAAAGAAGATCTGTAAAGTTGCAAAGACTAAAGTCTCAAATCCAAAGAGATATTCTTTATAAAAGTTAAGAGTCAGCCACGCCTACCTAAAACGCCTCGTTCTAACACGCCCCCACATATCTACGTCAAAATGTGGAAATATTAGCATAATGCCGCCCAAACGTGCACGCAAAGAAAGAAGGCGTGGTTTCAGGAACAGCAGTAGTGTTGATAAAGCCATGTCAGGGAGACGGTGTGTGTTTCAGTGCGAAAGCAAAAGCACTTTATTTGGCCTTCCGAAAGTAGATGCAATTAGGAATCTTTGGTTAAGATTTATTTACAATAGAACAGCACAACCCAGATGTTCGAATTACACGGAAAAATCGCGGTTGCTGCGGTTCTTGCATTCCTCTGCGGCGGTATTGCGATATTGTGGTTATATCGACAGCCCTAAGGCTATTTCAAAAAAAAAAAAAAAAGGGTAAATTCTGACTTTGCTATGATAATCTGGCGCTTCTGAATCAGCGACTGTAAGTATGTTTTGTTATTAGTTAAAGCATTTGCTATTGACTGTTCAAATGCGAAGTTTTGCGCAGCGCAGAGTAACGCGTCCTGTGTGTGTGTGTGTGTGTGTGTGTGTGTGTGTGTGTGTGTGTGAGGGGAACAGGGTCACATCACAGGAGAGTGAACTGCCTGTCAGAAATCATAGCACGTCAGCTGTCTTAACCGCGGCTTGTGTACTGCATCATCACTGTGTCTGTCACGCGACTCTGTTGCCCTTTCGGGCTTGAACTGATGGTAAAACTAACGACATTATTAACTGTCTTGATATTTACTTTGAAAGCTGAAGCGATTATGGTAAGGGGCGTTACATTTCAAACGCGTGCTTGTGGTGTTCGGCCAATCACAATGCACTGGGTCAGCTGGCCAATCAGAGCAGACTGCGCTTGTCAAAGGAGGGGGCTTTGTAGAAAACGAAGCGTTTGAGAGAGGCGGGGCATAGAGGACCTACAATAATGTACAGTATTTGAAAAATAATGTGTTTTTTGAACATTAAAGCATGTCAACATATTCTGTTACACCAAATACACAAAATAATGATCTTTAAAATAGCATCATATGACCCCTTTAACATGAGCTAATTGTGACAGAAACGCTTATCCACCTTTCCTGTGCTAAGTTATATCCAATTTTAACTCTAGCAATTTAAAGCTCTAAAATATGCAAAAGGGAAAATCCACCCAGAGGAATTATATCTTTAATGCATAACCAGGGGTTCATTCATCTAGAACAGAACCCTCAGTGCTAAATTCTAGACAATTTTACCCCCAAATAACATTTTTGTTTGTAAGTTACTGTTGAAATTATTATCTTTGGTAAATAACAGCATATCACTGACATTCCTTTAAAGGACCCAGGAGGGTTTAACTTTTCTCCTGTTAATGGATGATACGTAGAGTCAATATGGTGGTCTGAAGAAGCTACAAAGTGTGTAGCATCAATAACTTCAAATAAGGGATAGTTCTCACAAAAAGGAACATTCTGTCATCATTTACTCACCATAATGTCATTCTAAACCTGTATCACTTTCTTCCTTTTGTGGAACATCAAAGAAGATATTTTGAGAAATGTCTCAGTGGGTTTTTTTGTCCATATACTGTACAGTGGAAGTCAACGGGAACCAAAACTGTATGGTTACCAGCATTCTTCCAAACTTTCTTCCACAGAAGAAATAAAGTCACATGTTCAGAACATTATGAGGGTAAATAATGATGACAGAATTTTAATTTTTGGGTGAATTATCCCGTTAAGCACATTTCTGTTCCATAGATGTCCATTGTAAATGCATTACTGTACTGTACATGAGATGATTGTTTGTTTCTACAAACCGAGCCTACCTAAGCTTAAATAAAGCTTAACCTGTGTTGAACTCATTGATTTAGTGCTCGACTGTACGTGTTTTTCTGAAGAACTAAAGAATAAATAGTTCTTTATGGAGCTTATAAATGTTCTACAGCATCAGGTTGTAAAATCCTTGGTTCTATTCAAAACCTTATGTATTTAATATTGTGGACCCTACTGATAACTGCACATCACCAGATGCATTCTGCATCTCTTTGCCTTCATGAATCTATCCTCTTTACACAGTAGAGTCATCAAATAATTACTTTACTGGTCCCCTGACATTTTCTTAATGTTTTAATAACTGCCGCGTCTTATGAGAAAGCAAAGAACTCCGCTTTCATGAGCAGAATTAGACCGTGTTTGTGAACGTTATTACTGAGGGTTTAACCACCTGGAGTCCTTTAGTTTTTTATATCATATCCACAATTTTCTGCTCCTGAATGCAGAAATCTCGTTCAATCTCTTCTCTTCTGATGTTTACCACTTAGATTGCTCTGTGTTACTAACCCTAAGACTCATTTCTCATTCAGTGTTTTCTCAGTTTTTTTTCTCTCGCTCTTGATTTTTCTCTCTATCTCTCTCATTCTCTCTAACCTACCCTCACATCACCTTGCCAGAAATACTGTAAATAATTCTATGTGTAGTAAGAATGGACATAATCTGGATTAAAGTAAAGATTAGTGTTATCGAGTGTCTTTGGATTCCTGATCTATTTCCAGAAGCCGATTGGCTAATTTGAGATCCAAAAGCTTACCTCCACTACCCCACTACACAGATTACCTGTTTTCACACACACAAACCTCTCAGATTCACAGACATTGCAACACTCTTTCGCAGTTTCTTCCCAAGCTAATATGTGAATATGGTGATTATGCAGGTAGAGTGTGACATTTGACTAAACACGGGGAGATTTTATACAGGTGGGAGTGAGAAAGAACTTTAAAGACTGAACAGAAGAAGAGATGGGTGCGAGACAAAAGGAAACCACAAAGTAATGAAACACTCAACGACAATATGGCATGTGTTACCTTATAGCGGTTTATGAATCTACATAGATGAGGCAAATCTTGAGACTCATGATAATGTCAATGGCTGTCAACTGAAAACTGAAATAACTTTGATGCTCTGTGTTGTATCTTTACAGTTATTTATGTACATTCATTTAGTCTCTCAGGATGGGTCAGTTTTTAGTTTTTATGGGATGTTGTTGAATTGTTGATTCTCTTGTATAGCGGCAGGGGTCCTCAGAGACTTCTTGTAATAGAAAAACAGAGGACAACTGCCACCTCACAGGTCATGTTTCCAGTAGCTTAACACCCTGCAGCTCTTGACTGGTTACCCACTGAAGCTAAGCAGGGTTAAGCCTGGTTAGTACTTGGAGAGTTGACCTCTTATTTCACTGCCCAGGGAGTTGGCCATTTCTAGGGCTACCCCATTGTCAAAATTCCTGTTCACTAAAATGTCGCTCCTCATAGAACTTCCCAGAATGCACCAGTGAGTGCTCCTCACTCTACTTCTTTTTCTGAAATATTTTCATGTTTTTTTTCAGTCTGTTTAGTGATCGGACTATGGATGAGCTCAAATTTCAGCATTGCTGTACTTTTTATTACAGCTAAGTAAGATGCACGATAAACAAAATTAATGATGATCAGCTGTGGTGACAAACAACGATGATCAAGGTCCTTGCTAGTGCCTAAATTTGTTTCATAGTATACTGATTCATGCCATAGGATGCTTAGATGCATCGTAGATACAGGTTGCAGAGGAAGAGGCATTAGAGAAGTCAGCAGGGGCCCTGCGGTCTGCGTGGGTACTAATAGTAATGGGGACACTCTGCCTTTTCTGGGGCATTATGGGTCCATTGCATCATCTAGGTGGTTGAGGAGATTCCCACAACTTGTGCTTCATGTGAAAGTAGAAGTAAACATCTATGCAAATGCATGGACATACACATTCATTTTGTCACCAAGAGTGATTGATTATTTACTGTATTACTTTTTTTTCCCATCAGATGTGTTTAAGTTAGTTAAGTTAGTAAGAATCCACTCCATACCTATCAAAGCGGATATTTTTTTTTCCAGCGCGAGTTAATCGACTAAGTACTGCACGATCACAAATCTTTTCATTACTACCAATGAAGTGGTTGACACAGTGATCATCATAGCAATGAACGGGACAAAAATTCTGATATGTCAAAATAGATCTGTGCATTAAAGCTTGGAGTATAAATGCAGATTTTAAGACCAAGTTAAGTTAGTAAGAATCCACTCCATACCTATCAAAGCGGATATTTTTTTTTTCAGCGCGAGTTAATCGACTAAGTACTGCATGATCACAAATCTTTTCATTACTACCAATGAAGTGGTTGACACAGTGATCATCATAGCAATGAACGGGACAAAAATTCTGATATGTCAAAATAGATCTGTGCATTAAAGCTTGGAGTATAAATGCAGATTTTAAGACCAGTGTTTACTTATGAAAAATAGTTATGTTGGTATGTTATGAAGTTATGTTGGTTTAATGTATTATTTACTTAATATATTAAATTTTTATTTTCAAATAGAGTTTAAATAGTTTTTGCTATGGTACCAAAACTGGTACAGTGAACTGTGAATTTTTACTGGTATTGGACTACTGAAATTTTGGTATTGTGACAACACAAGCCAGGGAAATCTACAACATTTTTGGGGGGTTTAAGATGCTCTAGTGTTGCATTTGCTGTATGTTCATGCACAGTTCTCTCCTATTCCTGATATCTGTTAAATTCAGTATGATTCCTTTTTGTAGCCCTATTAAATGTGTAGGAGAGCAGATGACTTACTATAGATATTGTAGCTGTCACCTGACAAGTGTTGTTCACTGCAAGCAAGATTGAAGATAAGTTTATGTCAGACAATGATAACAGAGGCCCACATGTCAGTTTGCTCTATCTGTGTTTTTCAGTGTGTCTAGACTATTACTTTCTTGTTTTAATGACTTAATTTGCTCATTTGTAGATATGTGGTTTTGTATTTGTATGTACATTTTAAATTGCTATTTTAACGATCATGCTAAACACATAATGAGTTCTGAATAAGTTTGATCGTTAAGTCAAGCATTTAAAATCTCTCTCTTTCTTTCTCTCTGGTCTTGTAATAGCTGCATGGTCAAGTAACTGTGCTAGGTGGCCAGAATGAAGCGATACTTAGTGTAATCAGGGCTTGGCTGTGTTATCCAACTGCATTTAGATCTGTTACCATGGTGCCTTATATCAATCATTCAGGTACCTCAGAGAATCCTTTAATCTGCGATCAAAAGATGAATGTCACTGCTCTTTTACACCTATAAACATACACACACTCAAAAATGCATTATTTATTTATTTTTTTGTAGAATTTGAGAAAATCCACAGAATTGAGCATCCCACTGACTGAAAACTCATACACTGGTCATTTTTTTTCTTCTTCTTTTTTTGCTATTAGGCAAACCGTGAGATGGAGTTGTGAAATACCTGCTTTGAGAGTCTTTGTTTCCGAGTACGTCTGCAAGTCGCCACGCACCTATTTGTGTGTGTTCCGCTACATAAGCAAAAGTGACTTTTTCAAAAAGCCACAAAGCCCTTCAAAGAGGGAGAGAAAGAGTGAGAGAGACAGCCGGAGTGAGAGACAGACAGAGAAAGTAAGAGAGAGAGAGGCCAAGTCTTCTTCCCAGTGATGGTTATCGTACCTGCCCTATGTCTTCAGACAGACACACTGCTAAAAATACCCATCGGAAACGGCCAACAAAGCATCAAATCTGAACTTTCTCAAAGTGTGGTCAAACGTCAGACAACGGAGATTGCTGTTTGTGCTCGTGTGTGGGCTGGGATGGGGTTGAGGGGGCTTTTCATGTGAGTGATAATGTGTGTTTGTGCTTTCATGCTAATAAAGGCATGCGTGTGTTGTTTGTGTACATGTGCTAGTGTGTGTACACGCATACATTTTATAATTTTAGTTGTTTGGTATGTGTAGGTGTGTGAATAACACTGACACTTTCCATTAATAGGGTCCTAACTAAGACCTGGTACTCTTTAAAAATATTGGGTTTTCTTCAACAAAGATGTGCTTCAAAATGTTAATCATTAAAGAGATAGTTTCTTTCTTTTGCTGAACACAAAATAAGACTGAAGAAGTTTTGAAGAATGTGGGTAACCAAACAGTTGCTGGTCCCCACTGACTTCTATAGTATTTTTTTTCCATACTATGGGGACCATCAACAGTTTGGTTACCAGCCAAATCCAAAAATATTTTTTATGTTCCATGGAAGAAAGAAACTCATACAGGTTTGGAACAACCTGAGGGTGAGTAAATGAAGACAGCATTTTTATTTTTGTGTGGACTATCCCTTTAAACTCAATGGTCAAACTAAAAATTAAACTAAAAACATCACCTGTTTTTTTTGTTTGTTTGTTTTTTGCTATCCTGTCAACAAATTTGAGACTAAATACCTAAAAAAACTGAATTTGTGTGATTTGTTATTTTTTAGCAATGAACATTAAATAAACACTAAATTAAAAATGTAATCTATACTAATAAACTAACAAAAAAATAACATAAAATGCAATAAACAAAATCAGAACGAGTAACAGGTTGCTAATTTACTATAATTTAAACTGTCACTGTAGAGTCTAGCTAGTTTGGCACCAAAGTTTGGTTTGTAGTTATTGATAAACTTGTATAAGGAAAAATATTTGTTTGATGATTATGATTTATGGATGAACAGGGCTGAAAGCTTAATAAATGCAACAAGTATAAAGCTGAATATTACATTTTCAGGTGTAATATTCAGGTGAAAATGACAGGTGGATGCTGCACGCTGGTGGTGGATGAGGAGATCCCCCCTCACATTGTAAAGCGCGTTGAGTGTCTAGAAAAGCGCTATATAAATGCAACAAATTATTATTATTGTTTTTGGTAATTAAAATGAAATTGAATTATTTTAATAATTTAAAATAATAAAATGTACTTTAAAAAAAAATCGAACAGATGATTTAGATTTTTCAAAATTTTGACATTGTATTGTGATTTCAGTTTTTCAATGTAGTGACTGATGTAGTGACATGCCAAAATCAACACCAGGCCAAAATCAACAGAGGGAGAGACATTTGACGCGTTTACAACTAGTATTTTCATGCTATATTACAGTTATGTTGGATTTTATATTTAACATATTTAGAACATGTATAGTTACATTAAACATATTAATTGCCCAACTAACTATTGTTTTGTGTCCCAATCCAGTGAATAAGAAATTCCATCTAAGTAAGTACAACTGAGAATCTCAACCATTCATCAGTTATGCACTGTCTGTTCTCTCTGTGTAGCTGTGCAAGTATGTTGTATAGTAAAGCACAGTAGCAGTTTCAGTGTGTGCGTGTGTGTTTGCATGCTTTGAGAGGTGGCTTGTTTAACCCCCATGCATGTTGTTTTTTGCATATCAGAGAACCCCTCCATTGTGGTTATAGCGGTGCATTATTACACCTGTAAAGAACACACACAATGCACCTGTATCCACATATATTTTTACTTCAGCCACAAAAGCTGTATGTTTAAATGTGAGCAAAGCTACCGTAGACACGCACGCACAGGTGCGCACAGCTATGGGTGTGTGCATCTGAATGAAGATAAGATCTGAGAGTATTTTGGTGAAACGTGTGTGTTTGCATGCTTTGAGAGGTGGCTTGTTTAACCCCCTATGCATGTTGTTTTTTGCATATCAGAGAACCCCTCCATTGTGGTTATAGCGGTGCATTATTACACCTGTAAAGAACACACACAATGCACCTGTATCCACATATATTTTTACTTCAGCCACAAAAGCTGTATGTTTAAATGTGAGCAAAGCTACCGTAGACACGCACGCACAGGTGCGCACAGCTATGGGTGTGTGCATCTGAATGAAGATAAGATCTGAGAGTATTTTGGTGAAAAGATGCTGTTTAAAACTCTTCCCGCCTTTGTGTTTGATTACAAGCGTGCATTGTTTAAGTATTTCTCATCTTTTTTTCTTTTGCTCTTTCTTTCCTTCCCTCTGTCCTTTAATTTTTTTGTTTTTGCATTTCAATTTGACAAAGTCATATAAATTGTTTATCAGTCAAATTCACTTTATAAAAATTAGGGATGCACCGATACCACTTTTTCCAGTACTCGCCCGATACCGATACTTTTATTTTTGGTACTTGCCGATACCGAGTACCGATACCAATATTTTTTATTGCATTTGTAAATTTTTTAAATATTGGGTACAGAAACCAAAAGAGTATGTATAATGTTAGTTGGTTAACTTAATTTATCAAATAGATACAGTCAAGCCAAAATTTATTCAGACACCTTCAACATTTCTCACTTTTATTTTTGGTACTTGCCGGTACCGAGTACCGATACCAATATTTTTTATTGCATTTGTAAATTTTTTTAACTAGATCTAGATTTAACTTGGTACTTTCTTTGAATCTGAACAAAGTCGTATAAACGATTTGGAATAACAGGACTTTTCTATGCTAAGATACATGTAAGATGTTCAAACATATGAAAAACATCATGTTCGTAACTCGTGCAGTCTGCTCAATTAAGCGAAATTATCCTAAATTAATTATGAATTTATCAGTTCTTTTACAGTGCTTTTTAACAAAAAATAAGGGAGATAATTATTTAGATTTTTTGTATAAATATAAACTTTATATAGATCCATAAACTCACAATAAATTGGGACAGTGATAGTTAATCTAGATAGGTAAACAGTTAGTTGAGAACGTAGCAGAAGAAGCCACAGTATTGTTTAATGGCCAGATCAGTTGATTATTAGTTTATCTTGTGCTTTGTGGCTGTTATGATTAGTACCACAACTATAGATATGATGAGGAGCCTACAGATAAAGGGTTTAAACGTGCAAATGATCTAATTTATAAAACGAACATCCAACATCCTCAGTTCTGAGTCATTGTGTGTGGCCTAAACGGAATAAACGTGAAGTAACTGCTAAAACGATAAAGACGATCTTTAACTCTCCCTCTATTTTTGTTTACTTTATCCTGAAACCCACACAGACAAAACTGAGGACCCCGAAAGTATCAGATGACGTTCGTTCATGAGGCTTGTGGTTTTGGACATCGTTCAGCAATGACTCTCAAACAGGCATTTCTGTACAATCCCCTAAAATGGAATTTTCCGTAGCAGCCCACATCATGTATGTGGTTAAATATCTACTCATCAAAATTGCTACAATTCAAGCAGGACTTGCTGAACTCAGCTGTGCTGTATCTTATCACTTTGCATTATCTGATGCAGGTTTGCACTGAAGCTCTCGCTGTAGTCCGGCACTCTACTGAAAGCTTTTTTTGTGTGTGTGTGTTTGTGTGTGTGTGTGTGTGTGTGTGTGTGTGCAATTAAAAAAAGTACTTAAGACACCATAAAAGAATTACAGATTCCAACCACTACTGAGAGTGTCTTACCTCTTGCATTAATTTTCATTTAAAAAATACATTTTCTATTGTGTATGTACTCACGCAAATTAATTTGTTTCTCATGATCTTAAAAAAGCTTAAATGCTAGATAGATATAAATTGTCTACAATACTATATACTGTTGGAAAACCATCCCAGGATGCACCTAATGAAGTTGGTTGAGAGAATGAACCTATAGATATGATGAGGAGCCTACAGATAAAGGGTTTAAACGTGCAGATGATCTAATTTATAAAACGAACACTGCAAGATAAGGTCTCGCTTTCAGAAACTCACTGAATACAACATCCTCAGTTCTGAGTCATTGTGTGTGGCCTAAACGGAATAAACGTGAAGTAACTGCTAAAACGATAAAAACGATCTTTAACTCTCCCTCTATTTTTGTTTACTTTATCCTGAAACCCACACAGACAAAACTGAGGACCCCGAAAGTATCAGATGACGTTCGTTCATGAGGCTTGTGGTTTTGGACATCGTTCAGAAATGACTCTCAAACAGGCATTTCTGTACAATCCCCTAAAATGGAATTTTCCGTAGCAGCCCACATCATGTATGTGGTTAAATATCTACTCATCAAAATTGCTACAATTCAAGCAGGACTTGCTGAACTCAGCTGTGCTGTATCTTATCACTTTGCATTATCTGATGCAGGTTTGCACTGAAGCTCTCGCTGTAGTCCGGCACTCTACTGAAAGCTTTTTTTGTGTGTGTGTGTTTGTGTGTGTGTGTGTGTGTGTGTGTGTGTGCAATTAAAAAAAGTACTTAAGACACCATAAAAGAATTACAGATTCCAACCACTACTGAGAGTGTCTTACCTCTTGCATTAATTTTCATTTAAAAAATACATTTTCTATTGTGTATGTACTCACGCAAATTAATTTGTTTCTCATGATCTTAAAAAAGCTTAAATGCTAGATAAATGCTATAAATTGTCTACAATACTATATACTGTTGGAAAACCATCCCAGGATGCACCTAATGAAGTTGGTTGAGAGAATGAACAGTGTGTGCAAAGTTGTAAAGTAGGCGAGTTTCTTTGAAGAAACTAAAATAAAAGATAGCTTTGATTTTATTTAATATTTTAGTCACTGCATAATTTCCACACCTCAATATGTTACTTTATATTTTAATAACTTTACTATTTTTTAAAATATGGAAAATAAAAATTATGAACAGCATTCATGTCCAGACTGCTAACGCATATGTTTTGCTATAGTTATGCCAAATTTTTGTGTACCAAAAATGTCCTTTCAATACAATGAAATGTTTAAAGACTTGTAAAGACAGTCCTTAGTTGTATTTTTTATTCATTTGTTTTACTTTATTCATATTTTATTAAAAGCTAATGTTAAAAGGTTTCTTTAAAGAATAAGGTTTGATGATACGCTTATTAAAATGTTATTAAAATTATTTAAGATATTTAGAAACAGAATCAGAAGATATCTGAACCTTATGAGGACAGTTTATTGTTGTTCTGCTGCATAATAAGCCTAAAAGGTCCTGTTTTTATTCCGTATTAGACAGAGAGAAGCACTGCTTTAGTCAGTCAGACTGAGGCAGAGAGGAAGGTACGAGCAGAAAGACCTTCCGGGATAGCTGTTTAGATCTTCATCCGATGAACGCAACTGGAAAGAAAATTGGTGGATTTTATTGAATACACTTTTTGGTTTTATACGCACATTAAGAAAACATGCAGAGTGAGGCATTTTGCAACGTTGCACTAGATTCTAACTGCACACACACACACTACTGCCAATGAACGCTTCGCCAGCTGCACGAATGTTCTGCGCTGTGGTCACCCGTTCGGTCCCTGTGTGTGAGTCTGTGTGTCGACACACACATATGTGTGTATGTGCACAGGTGTGCGTGCAGAGCTTTTGTTTGAATGCTGTTTTTCCATCACCTACATTTTGGCTTGTTTTTCTCCATTGTTACCAAGTAAAACAGTGCAATCAAAAAGATCAAAGTTTAAGAACGGACCTTTTTAATTATATGTTTAATAAAATGTAAAAACATTACAAAAAAAAAAAATCTGACCTGATCTGTTTTCATATAGACCAAACGCTTATGAAACTGAATGTTATGAAAGGAAAGTTGAAACTCATAAATGTGCTCAGCACACTGATATATGTATAAATTTACCGCTTTTTTTGTTTGGGGGTTTCACTCCTTTTTCACTCTTGTTCTTAAATGTCTTAAAATCTTCAAAGACTCCGAAATCATGACTTTTACATTCAGTGACTAAAGCCTTGAAAATCCAAAATATATTCTTTCCCCCTGAATTTACAAAGCTTTTCCATTCAGCCTGATTTAAAAAATAATTCAAGTGCCTTCAAGACCTAAGATAATATGTATTATTAATTTAGACAATGAAAAGAATATATAAATGTGTATATATGTTTGAGTGTGTGTGTGTGTGCGTGTGTGTGTGTGTGTGTGTGTGTGTGTGTCTGAAACCGCATGCTAAGCACAAATGTCTTATCAAACTCGGCTTATTTCATCTTATCTTTTGGCACTTTCCTGTGACAAAAGATGTTTCTGTGGGTGTGCTGCTTTGTGAATTATTTTTATAGAGGTAATCCTTTAATTACTAATCAATATTTTATTTTAGAAAAATACATATTTATTTCAGAATAGCTTACATTAATTATATGTTAATACACATTCAAATTGTTCTTTTTTATTTTTTTTAAATGAGTTTCACAATCAGTATAATTAAAGCATGTAATTTTTTATTTTAAACATTGAGCTGTTATAGTGAAACAATAGTGTTCTAGCACTCTATTAGCAAGTCTTAGC